TCTTCCTGTTCCTGGTAAGCGAAATCCTCTTTCTCGCGATCGAAGGAACCGATTCGGTCTTTAATGGATTTACTGTGATAAGGCCAAGGATTGCGAGTAGGGCGACCTTCTTGGGTTTGAGGATGAAGCCCTCATTGGCTTTCGTTTATGGACTTCTCGTTGTCTATGCTTTTAAGTATATCACAGTTGTGCAGAATGCAGATGCTTAGTTTTAAGTTGTTATGCAGGTGGTGGATGGGAAACAGATTCAGATCCAACTCACGGGATTTCTGGAAAAGAAGTTCTTGAGGAGCTTTGGGGATTTCTGCTCAGTTCACAGAACAATTCCAATGGTGGCATAACAGCCCAATAACAAATGTTTGGGGGAAACAAGCTAGCCATGTCAGGTTAAGTTCATTCTTTTATCTTCTCTAATGTCAAACTTGATTCTCAAGTTATCTCTGCATCCATGCTGATTCTAATGCTCGGGGAGAATGTGTCTTCGATGAATGGTAACAATTCTGCAGCAGGTATGAGAAAGCAAAGGACCCATGCTAATGAATTCATTCGTGAAGAGTATTCTTTTGATGGATTAGCTGTTGATCAGTCTCCAGGCTCCTGAGGTCATTCTGCAAACATGAGCTTAAAAAGGAAGGAAACTCAACGTAAGAGGTGATCAACATTTTACTTCTGCTATTCTATTGTCAATTACATTGTTACATCTTTCTTATGTTTTGAGCAAATTTCCCTATCTCCCTTTTTGGTTATACAGCAAAGCAATTAACTTTTTGATTAATTGAAGTGATCATAGACCACTTACAAATTCTGAGATGACATAACTCTATTAGTTATTATAGTTTCATAGAAATCATTCAGTTTTTTTAACTCTATGTGCCAAACCTAATATATCATACAGCTTTTTTAATCCTTAATTATGCAAGGCAATTCTAGTCCTTTTAATCTTCACCTCATACATAAATATTCTTTTAACATCTTTCCTTTATTCATAAGAATATATCAAAGAGCGATTAGACATGTTCTCATTTTTTACTTGACTGTGGTCAACATCTAGCTTTCTTTTTTTTACTCACTTATTTTTCCTTTGAGGATCTTGGCTTTGAATTTTGATATCATATTGAACTTAACAATGAATCTAAAGTCAAACTAGCCAATGTTAATATACATGAAATTGAACAATAATTTAATCCAAAAGATTAAGATTCTTAAGTTATGTATCAAACCCGATATATGCTGCCTGAATCTTTCAAACCCTAATAACAGACATGAATATTCTCTTAAATATTCTTGATATGATACTTATAACAGGGGGCAAGTATATTAAAATTCTAACACATTCTGGCTTAATTATTTCACTAGAATCCGTGAACTGTGATCTTTATACAAAAAAAATGGAATTGGAGATGGTCTCACTAGACTTAGGTTACAGAAGGAAGTCAGAAAACTAGATCTAAGGAATTGATGGCAGAAATCTGGGATAGCAAGAAAATAAGATGGCTATTGTGGAAAAGTCTGAACATGGCAAGGATGGAAGGTGGAGTGCGAAGTGAAAAAAAAAAAGTAGTAGAGTGACTCGAATGACTCTAAAGAATTACCATGTGGGTCCTTTATAAAATAGATAAAACAGGTAGCAGAGACAGCCTGTTAAGTCTTTGGTGCAACAATTAGAAATCTGACCTGCAAAAAGAAAAATGTGAAGACGGGAGCTGCAGCAGCTCTCTGTAAAATGTTTCCGAATCTCTTAACCGATCGCTTGCCGATTCCGAGTCTGTTTGTTGACTGCGATTGGTTGAGGTTTGTATTTCCATCGGAATCAGCTCATTCTATGAACGTGGACTAGCCAATGAAATGTTTAGGTTAGTTTCCCATCCCCATCTCATGTGCTGCACTATTTTTGGTGTGGGTTCCATGGAATTAATTATCTGTACATATTGTTTTGAATCATCACATGGTTTATCGACTGGGGATGGACTCGGTTATGCTGGGAGTCACTTCTTGTTTTCATATGAGTCTCACTTTTTATTTCAACCAATATTCATAAATGCATAGGGTGAAAAGACTGCTGCATGGATAAAGTTGCATACGGATAAATTTATTTGTTGTGACCACACATGTTTTGAATCACATATTTATAAGTTCTACAACGACAATCTTTTTGCCCTTTGATGTTTTTCAGTCAACTTTGCTTTTGATATCACTGAGTTAGTGACTGTAAATAAGTTTGATGTGCTCGGTACAGATGCTGGTGTTGAGCGCCATGCTTCCTTTTTCTTTATTTGCTTTTGTGATTTTTTGTGCAAATACTCATTAATCGCCGATAGCGCATTCTACCTAGTTTCTGTATGGATGTTTATTAATCATATTTTTGACAGGCAATTGGATCTTCTGAAAAGACATGTACAAAACAAGTTGCAGGATCTTCAAACAAAACGGAATATGGTCACGGAAGGGTAAAGAACATTCGAAAATGGTATTTCTCATGATAAATGACATTTGTCCAAGATGACCACATGAGATGCATCTGTGTCCAAAGAAGTGTCTAATAAGCTGGTCCTTAAAAGCTCTTATGTGGAACTTTCTGTATTTGATGCCATAAATCGTTTAGTGATGGTATACAGAGAGTCATGTTGTCATATTATCTGTGAAGATATCTAAGAGCAAAACAGAAACAAGCAGTGAAATTCATAGGTATCATTAGGATTCTGAAGAGACCGATATGCCTAAATATTAAAGAAAGGCCATTATGCATTAAATGTTTGTCTCCATAGATAAAGTTTTCCTCCATCACCTCCACTTTGTGTTAGACAATCATCGTAAGGATTAAGCACATCTTTTCGTATAGCATACTGTTTTATGCATTCTATTTTACTTTGTCAGCTAAAGTGGCAAAATAGGGATGCCATTGAGTTGAATTTGTGGTGCAACTTTGGCACACATGACTGCTATATCTTCTTGGAATTTATATATAGCTTTATAAAGACTTTTTTTTTTTTTTTTTTTCTGTTGGAGCTTGAATTACTTTAAGGCTTTAACTTTGCTTTGACTAGCCACATCTTGTACTTGATACTTCCTTTAGGATCTATATGCTAGTTCCTTGTAGTTCAAAGTCTCATCCATCATAAGCTGCGAGGGCCTCGGCATGATATTTCTTCAGTATTTGGTATTCGATAACATCCTCAGGAAAAAGTGACCTTGTGGTGCATATGGTGTATTGAGAATCGAAAGCTCTAGTCATATCGCAACTATTGAGATCCCAAATGGGTAAAGGTAGTAACTTCATTGGTGAGTGTTAGTACTTGAAAAAATTAATTGCTCTTTTTTTCTTCAAGTGAAGACTGATTCGACTTTGTGGTTAACTTATTGATAGGAACACTGTCAAGAAAGACGTGGTAGAGCCTCCCATGCGCAAGACCTCCTTTACTACCTCAAATCAGAATTAACTGCTGCAGATATAACCTGTAATCCACTTGCTTTGCAGTTGACATTCTATACATAGTACTAGTAATATGAGTTGCCTTGGCATCAAAAAGGCCTAACTTATGATGTCTGTCTTACCCTTTCAACCTTGTGCACACTGACAATGCAAAATTATTTGTCTGAAGTATCTCAAACCTGTCTTTGCAAGCCGATACATAGTTACATCACAAATAATTCTATGAATTTTCGCTATCGTACTTAAAGATTTATCGTCATGCTTTCAGGTTCACTGCAATTATGTTCCCTTCGTGCAACGAATGGAATCCGTGGCTGTACCTGCTGTTTCACGAGGAAACGAGACCTTCGGATCTGCCATGCCAAGATTTTTCTCTCAGTCCAACGCAGATCCGGATAAACTACACACGTTCGATAACTGTTCGAGAGGTCAGCACAACAAAGCCGAAGCAGAGATGGCGGCCCACCACAGGGACAGGACAAAGCGCGAGTTGATGGCGAGTCGGAGGCGCAGATTGGGCCAACGCTCCTCTACCGTGCAGGTGCCGTGAAGATGCATGCAACCGGACATTGGGATAAGAAAGCGGCAAGCGCCGGATGTCGACACCCCTCCCTTTATTGTGCTCAATGATGTGAAAGATTCTGCAAGCACGTGGTGTGGAAAGGTACCGTCTCTTGCTACCACAACTTCCTTTCTTTTATCCCTATACACACTGTTGTACTTACTTGATATCACGTCTCCCTGTTCTCTCGCTCCCCAGCACCACCAGGGACTTGCTTCACAACTCAGGGTGAGAGGACCCAGAGAGGTTGTTGGTATTATGAGAAGTACAGTTGTGTTCTACACTACACACGCTCCAGGAGAGAGTGGGAAGCTAAATAGTCGATAGAACAAGGACGATGGGAGCCCTATCATCTCCTACAGAAGTAAACTTGTCCTTAGCCATACTGAGAGCAGCTCGGTTAAAGTGGAATATCAAAACCAAAGTGGCATAAATCGGAACATCAAATTCACTTAGAATTCCTTAAACCAGTGCCGTATTTAACTTCGTTGACAAAGTGCGCTCATAAGATAAGGGTGCATCTGGTTTGACTCTCCACTGCTGTAGTTGGAAGTTTATTGTTTACCCACCCTTTGAATTTTCCGCAGAAGCTTATAAACTAATGGCCTTTGACCCGGAAACTTCTGATAATGACACCGCAAAACAAATGCAATGAATTAGCTTTCTTTCTTCTTTTCAGGATATGTTTCAGAAAAGAAGGTTTGGTGAGCCCATGTGATGAAATGAACCGAGCGAAGAGAGATGAGAAGCTCCACCGACTGTCCTCACATTGTTTTGATAAGGTCTGAGACAGCAGCGCAGGAGATTGCCTTTTGACCACAGACGACTAAGACAACAGGTTTCTGGTGACTCAGAACTACTCTTGCCCCTCGATAAGAAGAGTCATCAGTTTTCCTTTTGTTGATATTTTTGTTAGTAATAGAGTTCGTCAATTGCCTGTGAGCAGGTTTCATATTCTTCATTTGCAACCACGAAGGATCATGCGAATGGATGTTGCATCTAACATCACCTCCACAGATGGTTTCCAGGTAATACTCGGATCTTGTTCATCAAACAACTACTTGACCAGTAATCTGCATGAATGTCGTCAGTCGTCTCTGGCATGAATAATCGTCCATGAATAGTTGTCAAAGGGAAATGAATGATACCTTGTGATATATATAGATCACTGCAAATAGTATACAACTCTTAATTGGAAATAGGCAACCAAATGATAAATGAAACATTAAAAACAGAAACACGAAGGTTGCACTTGAGTTTAGTAGAGTATTTTATTGAGAAAGGAATGGTTTAGTAGACAGATGAAGGCTGCCTAAAATTGAACTCATGTTTCCGTAGCAGAAACAACATGGATTTGGAGTTTCATCTTTCTGCTGCTACCTACATGCATAGCATAAATAAACACAAGCTTTGGTCAAGTACTTATTTGAATTATGAATAGTTCAAGAATGGAGCTAATAATAATATAGGGAAAGCTAGGCACTGTCATAGGAAATGGTTTATCCAATTATGAATTTGGATCATTTTCTTCTACATTAAAGCTAAAAATGAGGAGAATATAAGCAAAGATGTTGAAGAATAATGGCAAGTGGCTTAAGTTGTTAAAATACATATGTTCATATCATCATCTACACATTTCTGTATATGGGCAGACCAATATGATCATGTAAACTATAAGATATGATGCTAAAAGATTCACACGATATTAGCACATAAACATAAGGAAAACCTATAAAGCAATTATGTGTAAAATGGTTGGAGATGCATGCAATCTGCCATTGCCCACCGGCAAGATTACCGGTGCACAAGGCTCCTGCGTGATGACTTGTTTATCTCCAAATCGAAAGAGTGAATTTACTTTTGATTTAGTCTTTGGGATAATCTTTAATATCTAAGTCTCCCTATAAAATGACAATCATAAAAAACTCAATCATGTGTAAAGTACAGGTTAAATCATGAAAAAACTCAATCATGTGTAAAGTACAGGTTAAATCATGAAAAAACTCAATCATGTGTAAAGTGTAGGTTAAATCATAAAAAAAACTTAATAACGTGTAAATTGCAGGTTAAATCATGAAACAATTCTGTGTTTCGGATGAATTTGGTTTTGCCTATATAAATAATGTCTCCAAATCCTTAGGGTAAAAATAATTGTTACTAATTTTAGATTATGAGTTAGATAATTCTGTTTGTCTAAAAACATAAGCAATCATTTTTCGATGTCATTTGAAAAATATATCAATCTAGTTTCAAATAAGCGAATTCATATCTAATGGTAGCCTCACTGAAGCCTTCGACCCTGAAAACTAAATACGATTATCTGCTTGTGCAATTCAGAAGGATAGACTTCAGTAGCAAGCGAGATGGCTGCATGAGATAACAATAGTTGATCTCAGATCAACCTCTCAGAACATGAAGCTCTAATTCTGATAAATACAAACTCAAAGTTTGATTCCCAGCGAAAACAGAAAACTAAATGTAATAAGTCAACTGATAGTCTTATAGTTTCATACGCCACGCAGATGGCAGAAAGGGAAAAGAGAACAAGAGGATCACTATGCCATTCCTGCAACTTGCAACCTAACGTTTTACCACCATTGTCTCTAATGGGTTCTTTTTCTTACCTAGAAAAGACCAAACCTAATAGAGCATGGGTGCACATCTCCCTTTCTTGGCATTGAAGCATGCACTCCAACCCCCCAACATCCTCATCCAAACTTGAAATGGAAACAGCCGACTCAGGAAAGATGCAGTGGAGCAGTGGACATTAATCAGAAATCCTCCTCTCTCTCTCTCTCTCTCGGGCAAAATATATAGATTGAAGAGAAATGGTGAGAAAGAAAGAAGAAACAAACCAAAATAACCATCAGAAACTGCAACTAGCAATAGTACACGTCTAAAAGTTCACAAAATGATGCAAGAGTATTAAGATGGAAGGCATGATGTAGATGGAACTAGCAGCATGACTATTGGTTCTCCTTCTACAGAAATGTATGTTGTATGTGAAAGAGAGAGAGGTTTTGGTACTCAGTAGGATGGCGGATGACGCGAACTCGTTGAGGTCCACGCACCGAACACCTCGTGCGGCATCTGCCCATTGGGAAGCAGGCTCGGCGGTGGATTGAAGAGAGGGGGGTCGGTCGCCAATCCGGCATGCAGCTGGTGTGACGACGAACCACCACCTGCTCCATCTCCTCCTGGGCTCTGTAGCAACTGCATTTCCTCCGATCCCGGTGGTGCTGCAGCCGCCTCGGGCTCGTCGTCGCCGAGCGGCAACCGTTCGTAGGTGGCGTTAGCGAAGGTGGCTGCTATGATCAAAACCGGCCCCGAGGCCACCAATTCCCCGGCCACGACCCCACCCACCACCTGCCCTTGCCCACCGGCGAGGTACACGGTCAGCCCCGTGGCGCCTGGGGGCGACGGCGCCGGAAGGAATGCGCCTGACACAGAGAGGATCTCGAACCGTCCATGGAGAGTGATGACGGAGCCTGGCGGCGCGGCGGGCTGCCGGAGCGTGACGTTGGTGACGACGCCGCTGCCGCTCAAAATCGAGACGCCGCGCTGACGGCGGCGGGCGAAGACGGCGATGGCGTCCATGATGTCGGTGCCGCTGACGATCTCGAGGACGTGAGAGCGGAGCGCGTTGGGGCTCTCCCTCGTGATGATGACGGGCGGCTTCGGCTTGTTCTTCGACCCGGGCGGCCGGCCCCGAGGGCGGCGTCCGGAGTTGCCGCTACCGCCTCCGCTCCCGCCTGATCCGGCTTCGACCATGTCAAGGCCACCACCGCCACCGCCGGAGTGGTCGTCTCCGGTGCCGGCGTCGTCGTCCTTGACATGGTTGTTGTTGTTGTTGTTGTTCTTGCTGCTGCTGCTGTTCGGGGTAGCGGGGTTGTCCGCTAGGTCTCGGCGGTGGGGGCTGAGTTGGGCGTTGGGGTTGCGGACATGGAGGGAAGGGGTCGAGGGAGTGGTGGCGACGACGGGGTCTATTCCGCCCATCGCCACGCTCCCCGCCCACCACCGGTTCGCCAGCTTTCCTCCCTAAGCTAACAACTCCTTGCGAGGAGAGCCAAGGCGGAGACAATCGAAAGGATTCCTTAACGAGCGGTACTTCCCCTATTGCCTTCTACGTTCCATTTCCTCCACCCAAACTCTCTCTCTCTCTCTCTCTTCTCTCTCTCCCTTCTTCCGTAGAACACTCGCTCTTTTTCTCGGGTTCTTTTGGAGTCTTCTCCTGTGGTGTCTTCAGTAGATCTCGTGAAGGTGTTGGCACCTTAAACACGTCCAGCCCCTTAACTCGACTCCGACACCTACCTAGCTAAGTATCCACCTAACCAGCTTCTGGTTCCTTGTTCCTGTCCACTAATTAAGATCCTCAAACACTGAATGCAGTACAGTAGACCATTGCACGTCCGTTCGACATCCACGGAAAGATAGCTTCAGATCCACCTCCTCCTTTTGTAGCGCAAAGTGGCTTCCTTCCCTTGTTTTTCTGGTCGCTCAAAGGTCGGGAACATCAGGTGGGTGCCGCCTTCTTCTCTTGACAGGACAAAGATGAGCCTGGCAACCCCCCCCTCTCTCTCTCTCTCTCTCTCTCTCTCTCCCCTCCTCCCTCCTGGGCAAACTCTAATTTTTACCCAGCAAGCTCCTACTTTTACTGCATGCTTTCTTCCCACACTTTTGGCAGTACACTCTGCTTGTACTTGCTCCAGCGGAATCCTGATTTCCTCATTCTCTGCGGTGTGCGCTTGCGATGATGATGATGATAGCGAGTCCGGAAGCGCGTCTGAGACCAACGGGCGACGCATGTGGTGGGGAACAAAGCGCGCAGTGTCCAAAGACCACCACCATGGGGGAAAGCGTCCATTAATCTAATGGCGGATTAAAGACGGTCCGGTCTCCTAAACAGTGCCAGCGCAGACTCCAACACCCAAACCACTGAGCACAACCCACACCTTAGCCTGTCATTAATTGGAGCTCCCTCCACCGTTTCTTTTCTTTGTCTCCTTTGTCTTCTCGATGCTTTCGGCTGCCGGTCGAGCGAAAGTTGCGGGTTTTTTTTTTGCTTAATTTATTCCAGCACTTAATTTATAATCTTTTATACACTAATTTATATATATATATTTTTTTTAATCTCGTATCTAAAATATTCTCAATCATCTATTTATTTTTCCTCCCTTCTCCTATAAATCCAATATTTGTCTTAGCCTGTTTGACCTGATTAAGGAATACATCATGCATGCCACATCAAGCTAAAATTGCGCATGATTCATTAGATAAAAAGACACACGTAGTTAGCTTACCTAATTTAATTAAGTCAACTGTGAGAGAGGTCAGAAGAATATTATTGACTCGTTAAAATATTGTTGACAAATTATTATTATTATTTTAAATAATATTGATTATGATGATGGTAATGATAATGATAATAATAACAATAATAATAATAATAGTGATGTCGACTGAGGTACAACAGTGACATTGACGGTCAACGCTGATGATAATGATGGTGGATATTAATTGTGGTAGCGGAAACTATACTAGTTGGAAATATATACACATCAATAACGATAACGATGATATTGATTATGGTGCAAAGAATGGTAATGATGGAGACCACCGTTAATGGCTGACAGCCGCAGCCCCCTCTCGAGAGTTCCTCCATTCACTACCGTCACAGTATTACTGCCCGCGTCACAGAGGATTCTGCAGTGGATAAGGTGCCATCGTTACCGCCGGAGGTGTGATGGTGTTCGCCATGAATGCATTTTCGTCCCCCAGTCCCCATCGCTGCTGCAACCGCACAGCGCCCTCCCTCGCAGATCGTCAACCCCTGTAGCTTTCTATGGTTTCGACACCCGTTGTTTTTGATCGAACCACGCACGGGAAAGTTGTCTCAGTCTGCGTGAAAGAGAGAGAGAGAGAAAGAGAGAGGTAACGATCATGCAGTAAATCCTGGGAAACAGTCGCATGGTTCGTCTTCGGTAATGGCGTCAGGCAGTATTGAATGGCTGGGGCGGGCAAAGATGAAGCGCGGCAAACTCACGTGCATGCATTGCGTGAAGGCGAGAAATTACCGAGGCCGTGAATCGGCCATGGCGGACAAGCAGAGACGCCATCTCCAGGCCTGCCACCGTCGAGAGACGGTCAGACGGAGGGACCAGAGAGGGCGGTGCTGCTGTCGCCGTGTCCTTTCTTCTGCTCTCACCACGGTAAATCCTGGGTGGTCAAACGTTGGTCCCAAAACATTTAAGGTAGGAATCTAAATCTTTTAATTTTCATATTTTATAATAATTATAAGATACAAAATAATATCTTAAAATCTCTCTTGTGTTGATTTTTTATTTTATAGTTCACCATAAAATAAGGTGATGCTTTATTCATACATATTATAAATACTTATATTTATTAATACATCATCAATATATTATTTGTTATATTAAACTTTATCCCTTTTTTTCAGATCGGTCAAACGAGTGAGGTCAGACGTGACGTACATACACGCGCACCCTAATTTGATGTGTGGCTTTGCATTCGTTCAAACGCTACAATCGACGTTACATTTATCGACCTACTCCGTGGTGCTATGTTCGCCAATGGGACACTGTGTGATCTGCACCCGACACTCCAAAGAAAAGGTTGGGCGTCTCGTCGATTTGATGCCATCGACGTTCGTCGAGTGCTTCCACAGCTCGATCTCCGTTTGGATGATGATGGAGAGAAAGAGATCCTCCTTCTTCGATTGCATTCTCATAGGTTGATTCTCACCTTTTGATCTTGCGAGTGTTCAAGATGCAACCACTCTAACTAAACATTAAGATTTTATTTTATTTTTATTTAAATTTATTTTTAATTTTAATTAAAAGTATATGATACCGATTTAAGTGTCTAAAAAATGAACTACTCGAGGAAAGAAATACTCGTGTGACTAAGAGACCGACTATAAAAAGGATAAATCTTTCTCACACTCACCATCACCTAATTTATTTCAAGAGATCATATCGGGAACCCAACCACTCAAAGTCTATCGTCCATATCTTTTCCTATCAGAATTTTATTTTTTATCCTCGTATATGACCACAAATTAGCATTAGCGTCAGAGTCACATAGTCAAATATGCTACTAGCAATAATGTTGAGCGAGTCATCATGAAGATTTTTGATGTTCCGATTCTCAAAACGTGATGGCATTTTCAAAGTGGATGGAATCAGCTCAATTCCGATGTGGATTGACTGAGTTCTAACGGATCCTTTAGAGCAAGCCTCGCACGAATTTGAAGTTGGGCCAAATGGGCCGATAAGCCCGCCAATTGTTCTAATAAAACCTGGTGAAATATACTAATAAGTGTTAGATTAGAGGGAGGCATAAAAAGCTTTAATTAGAAAATATAATTAATATTCTTAATTTAACTATAAAAATTAATTTTTTAAAGAGTATTAATAATTAATAGTTCTATAAATTAATGGGGATATATTAATCTCGCGTCCGCGTTTGGTCGCGAAGCATTGATCCGTTATGAGAGGTGTGTTTTAAGGTGTAACTTTCTTGGCCGTCAAAGTCGGGATCGGCCCAATCGGAAGGCGTCCGTAATGATACCACGGCAACGGACGGTTGCGATGTGGATTTTGGGACATGCTGCTTAAAAGTGCAGTTGGAGAGGATCCGCGTCCCAAATGCGCCGACACTGGTCGTAAGCGTGTGCACTTCTAGTGAAAGTTCGTTCGTCCGTCGAGCGCCTCGTCTCAGATCTGGCGGGCAACGGGCGCTGCAAATCTCCGATGCCGCTCGTCGATTCCGCAAGCGCAGGTGATTTCCATTTGATTCAACAACGCCAAACCCTCGATCTCTTTCTTTTTCCCGTTTCTTGCGAGATTTGAACTCCGTTGGTCGCGCCGCTTTGGATTCGGTGTCCCTTTTGCCTAGATGTTCCTTGATCCATCTACCTAGCGCTGTAGATTTGGTCCTGTTCTTCTCTTTACCGTATATTAGGTTTAAAGAGTTCTTTTTGGTTTTCTTTTTACTTGTAAGAATGCTATCTTGATCTCCCCCTTCGTTTACGTTGTTCGTCAGCATAAGATATTGCGACAACTGGAAGCCATGGCAGCAAGAAGAGCAGTGAATCAATCTCGACGCTTGCCTGACAGCGCAAGCATTCCGCTTGTCAGCTCACTGCACCCAAAGTCACGGAGCACGCCATTGTTATCTGTAGGGCTGGTCCTCTTGGTATGGTGCTTCCTTGCTTTCTTCATATAGGTGCAGAATCGTGCAAATTGACAGAATGCTCTTTCTGGAATTGCAGGGTGCTTTTCTTCTCATTGGTTACTCCTACAGCAGCTCTGGTACGTGAAATTTCCCATAAAGATTTTTAGTGTCTGTGGTTTTTGCAATAGCTTCCTGTCGTTCTGGTTAATTAGCTGATGTCTTATTCCGTTTGACATGTGATGTGGCCATTTAACCTTCTAATGGCCAGGTGGATTGGCCAGTGACAAGGAAGCAATACACAAAGGTGAAGGTGTGTGTCGTTTTCTTCGTTTCATCCTATCAGTATTGTGTCAAAAAATCTCCCGGGCTGTTCAAGAGTTATTTTGGAATGGTTCTTTTTTTTATACTGCCTCACCCACCCTTCAATCTTTTCATATGTATGGCTGTTCTGGTGAAAGCCACATCCTATTTCCTTATAGTTAAACTTTGATTGGGATGTCTAGAATGGTTTGATACGGTATTCGGTACTTTCTTTGAATCTCATTTTTATATAATGTAACCATATGCCTATTTCGCTAAGCCATTTGCCTCATACTACAATAAGGTTGATTTCAGGTGGAGATCGACTTGGAATTGCACTTTATATTATATAACTTAATGTGGGGCAAGCAAGAATCTTGATGCTACAGCTCCTTTAGCCTTGCCAAATGTCATATGCTGTAGTTCTAACTGTATGGTTTGCCATCTCCTTTCCGACCTTGGATTATTTTTCTCCGTTATTCGCAGGTGCTTCCTGCACATCAGAAGTTCATCGGGCGATACCTTTTCTGAAGAAGGCTTATGGTCAAACCATGCGCAAGGTTTTGCATGTAGGGCCTGACACTTGTGCGGTTGTTTCTACATTGTTAAAAGAAGATGATACTGAAGCTTGGGGTGTGGAACCATATGACTTGGAGGATGCTGATAGTAGTTGCAAGAGGCTTATTCGTAAAGGATTTGTGCGTTCAGCTGATATCAAATTTTCTCTGCCATATAGGCCAAAGTCGTTTTCTGTTGTCATTGTCTCAGATGCATTGGATTACTTATCTCCAAAATACCTTAACAAGACACTTCCAGACCTGGCAAGAGTATCATCTGATGGACTTGTTATATTTGCTGGTAATTATTTATCTTGTGCTAATCTATTATGAAGCAATATTTTCCAAATTCTGTTTGAAACCTTGAGAGTATGTCAAAAACCTTATTTTTTTGCAGTCGTGGTTGGTTACACACAATAATGTTTAATATGTAAGGAAACTAAAACATCAAAATTTTTTAGGATTTTACTTTGGTAAGATCAATATTGAACTTGGATCTGTTACATGGAATACATATAGATTTGAAAGGACTGGTTTGGTACTATTGAAATCCATAAGTTTTAGGTGTCATTGTTCAGGATGAGTACACTTTTCAGTCATGATGATTACCTTTTGTTTGTCATGATGAATACTTTTGTTTAGAATTTGGAAGGATATCTAATTTCTATACGGCATGAACAATAAGTTCTGTTAGAATTTGAAAAAATCACTGTCAAATCAGTCATGATTAATAGCGAGAGAATATGTTTGTCTTCTAGTTCAGCATGATTGGATTACTGTCTCCATTGTCATTTTGTACTAATCAGAGTTGATGTCTATCGCCTCATCATTTTGTTTGGTTTTTAAATTGCTGTTGAATTGGACTTCTGGTGTAATTTATCATATCTGGTGAAGGATCTCTGAGTTTGGGTCTTACTGCTAAGCTTACTTTTAAAGCCACATAGGTTCCACTTGTCATCCACATTTTGGCCTTCGGTTTGTCTATGTGGTGCTTTTAACTGTCTTGAGACAACTTTATCTTACAGTTATAACACATGGTTTGTATTCTCATATGGGTTTTGTATGCATTACCTTCTGGATAAGAACCAGTACTTGGAGTAATAACCAACATAAAATCATAGAAGCGTGGAAATTAATTAATTGGTAAGCTCATTTAAACCTATAAATTGGAGAAGTGAAGTTTGAATACTGTCTTGAATGTTGGGATGGTAATCCTCTTGAATGGAGAATGAAATATGGCAGTGTCCTCTCTCCTTGTTCTTGTAGCAATTTGCAACTGCATTTCATTCCAATAAGATCTGGATAGTTTCTATTGTCGATCATCATTTGTCAAGTTTTGTATCTTAGCCTTGCTTATAGTGGCATTTTTGTGCAACATAAAAACCTATGCTTTATGTAAAAGTTGTATCTACTCTCAAGTTAGTCACTCAAATTTAAAGTAAATGTTCATTGTTCTAGAATCGTTCCTAATGTTGTAGGATATCCAGGTCAGCAGAGAGCCAAGGTTTTGGAGCTTGCAAAATTTGGAAAACCGGTATGTCCTTCAATTAATATACATCTTTTATGCTGGTGCTTCAATTAATGGGGAAGCTATTGTCAACCCTTCCCATTGAGCATTTAGACCTTGTCATGGTTGCTTTACAGCTGTCTACTACCATTTTGATTCTGTTTCAACACGATGTGGCTTTCCAACTTTTAGTCAGCCATAATGTTATTAACAGTGTGATCTTATTAGAATTAGAACCTTCAGTCTCTCTTTTATTGGGCAGTCTTATTAGATTCATCTTGTTCTGGGTGGACCAACAAAGCCGAAAGATACAGCAAGCCTGTCTAGCTTTTAGGAACAATAAGTTGGGAGGTTATCTTTTGAGCATTAACAACTGATGAAATTATACTAAATTCAATGCCAGAGCTCTGAGTTTGAAAAATGGTGATCTAGAAAGAATGCGGGAGAGCTTGATCAAATTAGAATGAGTACATTATAAAGTCCAAATATATTGTGGAGCTTTAATGATGAATAATTCTTAATTCAAATCTTACCAAACTGTATGTTGGGGTCACAAATAGCAGGGACAAAGCTTGGGATGAGAACTTTACACAAAAAAAGGTGATTTTCTTTTTTGTCAGTGCTTCTGTTATCCATCTTGGTCAAGGTAATATGCAGTCTTGCAGCCTACTTCTTTCGAGAATGCTGAAAATGTTAGTCAGCATCGAGATACTTGTGAATTTACAGGGTTCTTTATATTAATCTCTCATCGCTTTAAGCTCCTTAATCTGACAATAAAAATAGTGTTTGTTCGTGTTGGTACCATGGCTTAGTTGCAGCAGTCTTACCATTGTTTTGTTAAGCATTCCGAATGGGTGATAATTCCGTGCTTTGGTTTGTAGGTTAAATTGCGGAGTTCATCCTGGTGGATACGATATTTTGTTCAGACTGGCTTACAAGAGAATGAAGCTGCCACGAAGAAGTTCGAGCAGGCTGCAAGCAAGAGCTCTTACAAACCGAGCTGCCAGATTTTTCACCTCGTCTCATAGATGATGGATCGTTTCTGCTATGCTGTGGACACTGCCAAAGTACTTTGTGCACTGTCAACTGTTGTATTCAACAACTCGAAGTATCACTGTACTATTGGAGTTTTAGGAGCACCGTCTCCTCTGTGAGGTTTTAGATTTCCGTTGGATGTAATTGTATGACTTGGACTAGTTAATTTAAGCCTATGAGTTAAATAAAACATGTATTTTGGTACGTTTACATGACCACATTACATTCTTTTATTATTTACATCCATAAAGAACTATCAAACCTTAACATGCATAATACCCTTTATCTCAAGTTACTAATAATATCAATATTATTATAATAATAGCAATAATAATTTTACAATACAATAATTTATTATGATTATTATTGTTATTGAATATATATATATATATATATATATATATATATATATATATACACACACACACACACACGCACACGCACATACATCTCCCAGGATAACTAACTCATCGGTATGCATCGGGTATAAGTGCAGAGGACGGAAAGGGTAAAGGAGAACCTTCTCCCATGGCGACCGACATCTCTTCTTCTACTCGGAGACTATTCAGGAGCGTACGGCGCGGCAACTTTCGTCTACGAATTGGATTTCGCGTTTCATTTTCCGTGTTTTTAGTTCTTCATCGTAATATTATCTGCGGTATCTTTTGCCCCATTCTTGGTTTCTTTACCCTCCACAGTTGATCTATCTGGCGGTTCAAAGATGCCGGATCGCGGAGACTCTCTGCAGACTGTCGATCTCGATCAGATGCTTCCGCGTGTCGAATCCTCCATTCATGCGCATCTCTAGTGAGAGCCCGAACGCCAGTATAATTTTGGTTCAATCGGTAGTTCGAATTTTCTGTGAAGCATCTCATATTTTATATGAATGACCAGTTTCAGACACTGGGGTCGGAAGCAGCTTGGTGGAGTTCCAGGACCTGGACCGGGGAATGTGTTCCGTTTCATCCGACAAATGGGGTAATGCTGGATAGTTGATCTAGAATAATGATTGTGATTTCTAACTTCCATCTAACTTAAATATCCTCTCATCTTGTTGGGAGTCATCGCTATATGATTGTTCTACCTGTCATTTGATGATTGCATACGTTTAGTTCTTTAGGTTGGTAATAAGAGGTTTCGTAAACCTTTAGTTCTTTAGGTTGGTAATAAGAGGTTTCGTAAACCATAACTAAATGCCCATAATTTGTTGCATAACTGATGAAACATAATAATAGGTTAAAAAACCATAGTTGGTGAAATCCATCCAGTAAAATGGGAGTAAGTGTACGTTCTGGAGTAATGGTTTGCTGGCAGGTTCAACACTTAGGGAACTTGGACTTAAGGTACAGGTTGCACGTCATGTACTGGAAGATTGTCATGTACGTGTACATTGTGGAATAAGCTTAGCGATATTAGACTGAAGATACAGGTTGCACATGCCATCTAGTGGGAGGTTGTCATGCCAGATCCCTTATGGCATAATGTGATGTCTAATGGTATGCATCTGTATCATATGTTGCTTCTGCCTCTTGCAGCAAGTTGAATTGCAGCCTGGCATGATACAAGAGAATCAATACTCAAATCTTTGGTATTAACAAATGTAATATGAGTTATTTCTTATTTCATGGTTCCTAGCTTGATTAGGAAAAAAACATGCAACAAACAAAGTCCACCGATAAAACAAGAAAAGGAGAACTGAGGGAGAGTCATGAGGAGGATAGGGATGGCAGAAGATAGTTGAGGGTCAATCCAATTGACATTTAGCTGAATTTAAAGGTGGAGCAGAAGTAAAAACATAGATACTACTTGAACAAAAAAAATGGTAATCTGTGATTATCATTTTTCAACTTTTTCAGCTAAATCAACTCTCATTGTATTCATTGAATCAGGAGCATGAGCCCTAACAAATTTCTGAAGATATTCCTTTGAGTAACTCTATTCCTGCCATAAGAGATGACATAAATTGATAATTTAACTACACAGTGAAGAACAAGAATAGGTGTAAGAGAAAAACTTTTTTATTTATAATATATTTCTAGGAGTTGTTTTTCTGAAGTTGGTTTCTGCATTGAGAATTTCAGGCCATAATCATAGAGTGGCTTTATTGTTGGGTACTTGAGTGTATGGGTTAATCGTGTCATTGTACATGTTAATAAATCCCAATATTCTCATCAGTTGCTGTAAAAGGTAAAGCCACCCAACATTCTCATTAGTGCCTCTAAAAGGTAAAGCCATTCATGTAGTAAACACCTGTAATCATATATGTTAGCACATTCCGCAATTCATTCAAACCAAATGAAAGGCATCTGATTTGAAAGAATACAAGGTAAAGCAATTCATTCACAACAAATGAATCATCAGTCAAATGTCCCAGAATTTAAAATTTTTGTTATCCAAATTTTGAACTATGTTTCAGCACTAACTTCTTGGCTCACAATGGCTACCAGCTACTTCGTTTTTATTACATCCAAGTTCTTGAATGAAATTCTGCATAATGTAAGATGTTATTTTCCCCTTGTCCTTTTGCCTGTTAATCTCCCTATTTCAAAATTTGGAGTAAAAGTTGAGTAAGATTTCAATTACATTGATTACTGCTGAACTACTGGTTCTTGTAACTGCTTCAAATTAAGATGCAGATTATCTATAACATACAGTTCATTCCTTCATATGGGCTTCCTTATATTTGTACGTTGAATTTAAGTGTTTCCCTTCTCTGTTGTTGTGGAGCATGTCTCCATATAAAAAAAGAGAGTGATTTCGTAAGTTTGAAAGGCCTTCTTGATGAAAGGGATTTGCATATTTTGTAAGAAATCGTACAATTGTTTTCTTTCATTTTTTATGTATATACCTTTCTGATAAAGATTCAATCAATTTATTTACCATGTACTATTTTTTTCTTTTTCATTTGCAGATGGAATGTTGTCAATAACAACTACTGGTAAGTTGTTATTTTGCTTAAATAACAACTTAATTTGTTAGAAATTTCATCATACCAGAATTAAATTTGCTTAGATCCTTACTTTTCTGATAATAATTAAAATATAGTCTATGAAATTCCTATGCTCATTTATAGTAAGGTTGGCCTTTATAAATTTTGTTAACTTGAGTCTGTAATTCTAAGGAATTTCTGTAAATGATTTTATTCCTTATGATGCATTTCTGATTCTACTGAGTACTCCATAGATAAGCTAGCATGGAAGTGCAACAAATGGCACACTAGTATATCCCATGTCACAGAATAAAGCAACCATCATTGACCCTGACCTTTTCAGTTCTCTTGCATCTTCACCATTCTTATCAGTATAATCAGGAAACCTTGCAGCCCATGTAAGTTTCAGTTAATTTTATTGATGTTCAGGTCTTGGACTTGGTTGCTATATGGAGTTATGCATTATTAATGATTTTAAAAGAATTGACATGCTGTGGAAACATCTTACACACGATTAGGTGAAGATCAGAAGGACCATCAGAGAATGAACATATGTAAACATGTGCTACTTTATTAAATATTTGAACATCAAACATCTTTTCCTCTTTGACTTTATGACATTTTGCAGCTCTTCCAGTGGTTAAGAAAAAGCTGTTCCCCAACAACATGAAGAAAATATGCAACCTGATGCTGATAGTACTTAGATAATTGACCATATCAGTCAAATATTATTAATAAAATTAAGAACTCTTGAAAGTTGGAGATGTTCTAAAGTTTATCGTCTTCTATACTGACAAATTGCAGTTTACATGCAGTCAAACTTTTAGAACTTTGTGAATCAAGTGGTAACACTACACTGAAGTGTTATGCTCAAATTCTTGGCATTTAATGGATCCCGTGTCAAACTTCTCTTACATGCCATTAGTGCTATTTCCTATGATGCTTCATTTGTCTTGAGATGGTTTTTCTTAGACATTTAAGTGTTTTTCGTTGACTCTGTTGAACTTGTACCAACAGTTCTTCAATAATTTATATTTTTATATATGGCTGCAAACATCAATTGCATGTTCAGCTATGTGCTTACCTTAATATGTAAAGTAAGGTACTTTGATGAATAGTCAATTACTCCAGCTATTATTCTTATGCAGTAATGTTGTAGATATAGACTGGTCATATTGTGTATTGAACTTTTGGTCCAGGAATAAGAGACAAAGATATACATAACTACCATCTGAATCTTAGAGAAGCATTAACTTCTAAATTAAGGTTGAATACATTACCACCCACATGCAAGAATCATGGGACATTCAGGCAAGTTTTGCTAGATTATTCTGTATTTCCGTTGCACCTTCCATTACGATCATCTCTTTGATGTTGGCAAATCATTGGGATAGTTAAACTTATGCATCTAAAACTACATTTTAGTGGGACCGAAGTTTGCTTTTCTACTGCAGAGGAAGACAACATTGATGACTTCATGGCATGGGTGTTTCCCTTTGTTCGGAAGGTTCATCTCTGTGCCTGCTACTTAAATCTAGTCTGAATGTAACAAAGTGAATATAATGGAAATGCTATATGATGAGACAGTTCTATTTTACCTTAAACATGAACAAAAATACAGAGAATGAATAGTTCTGGATCCAGCATATAAGTTGAAAAGCAAGATTACATACTTTTCATTGATTTCAAACCATATAATGATATCTAGTATCACCCTAGAACAGCCCTTTTTCAGTTTTTCCTAAAAAATCTAGATCCTAGAAAGATGGCAGCATTTGCATTTTGTGAAAACCATTCCACATCATCAGCATTGAATGTAGTCGACATGGAAAACCAAGCAAGCCTAGCCTATGTGACGTTGGATGGTTCATTTTAGAACTTCAATTTAAATCACAAGTACCTATTTTAATGGTTTGGGATTGGTGGTATAGCATAATGGCAGCATCCCTTGTCATATTCCTTAATTTTTTACAATTTATGTACCAAATTTTATGGAGTAGAATTTGTTCCTATATTGTTTTATATGCATCGTCATATGGATATGCCGACCTGTGCACCCTCAGCATTGACCACCAACATATGTGGGCATGCCCTTGGCATGCACTATGCACACCCTCAGCACAAAACTTAGATCCTTGATACAGACCAGGCAAGCAAATTTATAGGGTTAATTGTGATGCCGACAGTTCTTATGATAAAATTAAGCTTTGGTGTAGGCATTACTTACCATGATTACTGTTTATTATCAGACCTAATTTGCATTAATGAAATTATAAATTTGATGGAATTGTAACTTCTTAGTTTCTTAGCATATGTTATTTTAATTTGATCAGGGAAAGCTACAGGCTTCTGGATTCAGTTATACATTTCAAGCATTTGATCCTGTATTAAATCATCCTCTTTTCTCAGACTAGTGTTTCTTTGTCCTTTTCTTTTGCAGATATTTCTACTGAAGACACCTGTAAGTTCATCCATATAGTTGATTCCTGTTCTAATTGTGAACTGACATCTGTTTGTTTCAGTTGCATCTTAGTGTGCTTCAGTATTGGTAATATGCTTCCAAGTGTTACAAGCTTAGTTACTTCAAGCTATTATCATGCTACTCCAGCCTTGCTGGATTCTTCGTTGGATTTCATAACATTGTCATTAAGATGGTCATGTTTCATGATTTATGGTGCAAGGGTCAGACAGATTGAAAGCTTATATAAACATATCTTGGTGTTACTTTTCAGTGATTTCAGGATTCCTCTTCTCTATGAAGTGTTTACCAATTTAGGTTTATGGAATACCTTCTAACTTAAAAATAAGGATTCAAATATCTGTAGTACTTGATGAAAATTTCATCAGCGAATTTAAGGTAGGATGATGTGAAGTATTGTGGTTTTAAATGACTTTGACTGTTGCCTGTTCTCATTGCCCCTATATTATACTAAGCCACATGATTGTGAGTTCAGACAACTACAAATGCTATATGTCATTGTCATCTTACTGCACTTTCAAGCTTTGATAACCATCCTGGACAATAACTTCATGATCCCAATATGTTGCTGTGAACTTGTCAATTTTCTGATATGGTCCATTCATACTGGCTGCATTTTATTTATGATATCAGGTGAGGTCTTTGCCCTAATGCACCATTTGAAAATTGCATATAGACTCTTTTAAGTTAAGGCCCTAAATCTTGAACCATTTATTTCATTTTTTAAGCTGATGGTCATCACATCAACCATGCTGATTTATTTACTTATTTGAATAGTGAATGTTTTAGTTCTGCATGATTCACTAGATTCAACTTGCTACTTATGTAGGCACCAAATAGTAGCTTGTGGAATTGCACAAAACTCCTTTACATTCATATCTAATCATGTCAATGTTTTCTTCCTTGGGCTTTAATGCTAAGTCCTGTTCTTGCTTTCAATAGATTGTTGATGTTAGGGTCCTATTGAAATATCTTTTTCTTTGGCATGCACATCAATTTCTGGAAATAGGATAAGTCTGATGACTATAACTACTCAAACTTGTACAGAATCTTGCTGTGGATCTCACAGTTGAGCATACAGAAAACCTTGGGTTGCGATACAATCACCTTCATCAAGAAACTGATGACATTTACCTGCCCCTTTCATTGTCAAATAACGAGCGGCTACTTTTAAGCCTTCAGAGCTATGTTCTCAGGCACAGAAATGCTTTAGATAAAGAGTGTCAGCTTTGTTTCACAAGCAGGTAGTCTAGAACATGCCAGTTACATTTTGTTCCAAATGCTGATTAATCTTTATACATTGTAATTGGTAAACATACTTGTTAGAGATTGTGTTCATCTGTTTCTGGAGTTTTTTTTGTATATTTACATATATTTTGGCAGAAAGGATAGATGCCCTTTTTTTATTTGCACTATTTCTTTTATCCTATGCTTCCCTTAGGTGTCATTGATTTAAGAGGACCAAATTGTCATTTTGTATTTATTGTATTAACTTCTGAGACTTTACATTAGAAGTGTCAACGGGTTTTGGTTGAGATGAGGTATTAAGGACAGATAGTGCTGACCCAAAACCGATCTGATCCACCAACAGGTCAAAATTTCTTGACCTGAGCTTGTACATGTGGTTAATAAGTTAGGTTGGCTGGCTTTGATAAAATTTGCTTCAGAAAATAATCAGCATTAGATCAGGGTGAACCTTAAGGAAGCACATGTTTGATCCAAACCTGATTTTTGAAAGGAACAAAATTTTTTTAATTGGACCTTAACCCATAAACCCCAATGGCTTAGGTCTGGTTTGACAAATTATTTCACCCAATACAATGTAATTATTGTTCATTATAAACTGTTTATAAACTATTGTACAATTATTATGTTATGTGCAATGTCGAATGTGAAAAAAGTTGTTCATCAATTGCCAAAATCTCTATCCTAGAATTCTAGCTACTGTAATTTATAGATTGTTTTCTTTGTTCCAAATAGAGATCATTTAAAGTTTGGAACTGGGGTTGCAAGCAACATCCAAATCAGAGATTCTGGACGGATAGTGGAAGTGGCAATAGTGATAACATCTGTGCAATCACAGTGTTGTCTGTGGCGATTGAACTATGCTACTTCACAGGTTTATATTTTTAAATGACTCTTATCTAACCACCTTTTATCCCTTCATTCCATTTAGCATTACAAAAATATTTCCTTGTGGAACTTAGTTTAACTTTTTAATTAAAACCATTATCTGAATATTCAAAGTTGAAATGTATCTGTGTGGCTGATTTATTCAATGGAATTTGATTGGGACAGATTGCAAAGTCATTCATGCACCTGTATGTTAAACTATTTCATACATTTGAAATTCGAATTCTTGTTCTTAATTTTTAATTTTGAATTATTTCAGCATCTTAAAGCTAATAATTTCTAATAAACCAGTGGCAGTTGCTGTGATACATGAATTTGACATTTTGGTAAATATGATATTTAAATTTTATACTACGCTATGATTCTGAGAACTATAAGTGGTGAAATTTAGTTCTATCAGTAAAAAGAGTGGTGGTGTAGCTTTAAAGTTATTAGGTTGATGATTGCTTATTTGGTTCGAGATTTTAACCTTTCTAGATAATTGATGTCTGCTTGGACACACAGAAAGAAAATTTAACTTTCTGGGCAAGTCTTCTATCATTAGTTAGGTCACTATACAATGTTCTATTGTAAATCAAGGGCATGACCAGAGTCGAGATGAATGAGTTGAAACAGGCCTGTGAAAATTATAGACCCACCTAAAGAGGAGATCTTATAAAATTCACTATGATTTTTATTGTTCATTAGCTTGAAATATTTCACCATATCTTTTATCACACTTTTTTTCTTGGAACTCTTTCAGGAGCTTAAATATTTATAGATATTTGTTCTTATGTTCTACTATTTCTTGGAAACTAGGATTGGCCAATTGCCACATAGCATGCTGAGAAATCTATGCTTATACTTGATTTGATTGAACTTTTATCCCATACAATTATAATATTCAAATTTTGTTCAGGTTATGTACTTCCAAGAATTCACTCCCTTTTCAGTCTCTCAATCATCAATTGATGCATTGACAAGCATAAATTGGCAAAATTATGGTTTAAGATTAAGGGAAATTATCATGGATGGAGATGGGAATGCAGTGCTTGAATGGGTGGACGTGCCATCATTTGGCTACATGGATATTGCCATCCATTGTTACCATCAAAGATATCCAATTTAGGATGTATTGTTCTTGTCAGGTCATACTTCTTAGGATCTTCATTATTTTACAGGCTCATCCTGCTATTTGAGCAAAATTTTCCTTAACCTATTAAATAAAATTGTGACTCGAGAACGCACTTCAGCTGATCGAAATCTCATCAAGAAAGCAGTTAAGATTGCCCTGGATGACTTGAAGGCAAAATATGCAGGCCTTCTTCTCAGCTTTCGTTCCGTCAAGGTATATCTCACCATCCTTCATCTAATCATGATGCTTTATTGGTCTATATGAGTTTCTAGCATGCATTTCTGCTTCTAGCAAATATCAGATTTCCATATAATTCCTGTTAACTAATTACCACGATTGTCGCTGCCAAGGCTGGACTTTGGGAGACCAGACATTCCTACTAAGAAATTTTGTAGCCAATTGGACTGATGATATGCCAAGTAGAACAAGATCCTTCTCATGAAAAGTACCATTCCACACATATATTGCATAGTTTTGTAGTTGCATCTAACGACTTGGAAAATACTAACGCAGCATTTTTTACATGCGAGCAAGCTCCCTGTGAGTAAGTCCACTATTGCCAAGTTAAGATGGAAGTCCATCATATCAGTAGTTGGGTTTTGTGCAAACTTTCAAACAGGAAACATACTATCATAATGAGAATATCCATCTCATACATGTGAACACAACACCTGTTTGTTATCATCGCAATTGATGTCAAAATTAAGCAAATGTGGGGTTATTCTGTTATTTTATACCTCCAAATAGGGGTGTCCACAGGCCAATTTGTTTGGTGTGGAGGAAAATTTTGGATCAAACTAAACTTGTTCATTTTTTCAGAATCTGAACTGAAACGAAATGAGTTGACAATGAACACCTAACAGAAATTGTTTTGTTCCAATGTGTTAAAGGCCCCAAATAGTTGGGGCTTATGGCTTTGTTGTTGTTGTACTATATTTGTGTTAAGGATAATATTTTACCTGTCATGAAATTACATAGAATAGGTTACATTCATAAGTATAAAATTAGTTGCATTCATGTACTATGTTCTGCACGTAACTGTAAGGAATAAGTTGTGATGTCCCAACTACTTGGTGCTGAGTATATGGACTCTTATCTGCCTTTAAGCAGTATTTGGAGTAATTTTACTAGTTAATCATTGTTTCTTGTAAAGTTTCCTTGGGTCTCTCTTCATCTCCTCAGAGTTTTTGATCTTGGTACCAAACCTTATACCTTTTGCGTTGACACAAGGAAACATTATACCATGGAAGAGGGTTATCTTTTTAATTAGCGATATTAGAACAGGGATCAGCATGAGAATCAGTCTAAAGCTCAGGATACATTTATCCATAATTCTCTGTACAAGGCTTAAATACCTTAAAGAATCTATCATGTTCTCTGGTGCTTTGAATTGTGATTAACCAGTGGATGAGAACTTTAATCTTGTGACTTGAAGTTTTTACTGATCCATGCCAAGAGGGAACCTAATTAAATGGCACAGAAGCAATAAAAACAATGAGATAGGGGCTTGATTTATGAGCAGTTGGGTTAGATTTTGTTTTTGTTGTTGTTACAGCGGAGTTGGACTCAGGTTGCAATGGTAATGGGACCGATGTTGGAGGTCGTTGGGAATGCAAACAACCAAAAACAAGGAGCTTATTTACGTGCTTGACTTTTATTTTTTCATGTTACCTGAGTCGCTTATTCTCTTTCATTTGACCCCTTCTAATTGTTTACTGTATGTTACGTGGTTCTTACCGTTTCTTCAGATCTGCAATCACATTCCTGACCTTTCAAGAACAATTGCCGGTTTGATCTTGTCATCCAATGATCCGGAGTTCCATAGTGAATGTGCTTCCCTTCTCGGACTGCAATCCAATGATGCTTGCACTGAGGAGACAGTTGATTCTTGCATCAGGGAAAAGATTATTAGGATTATAGAAATGAATGATGGAAAGAAGAAGAAGAAGAAGATAGAAAGGGGAAGTGCTCCCTGCCTTTTTGAATGTGAGGGCCACCTAAAAGAACATTGTCCAGAAGGAAAAGATGATGATTCTGAGGAAGGTACGAGTTGAGTTCTCGTGAGTTTTAGGTGATTTGCTATATCCAATTAAGATAAGCTTGTAAATGTTATGATTTATCATCTACTAATAACTTGATATAAATAGCTTCTACTTCCAGAATGAGGGATGTGGCGTCGACCCAATAGATCGGATTACTACCAGAGCTCAAGTATTATATATACTCAATGAAGGACCTCATCTACACAGCATTGTCTTATCATGGTGCTGGGATTTATTTCCTCGTAAGGAATTTAAATGCACGTGCTCTCCCTTGTTTGGCTAGCTGAAGAGCATTCATGTAGCTTTTGGACTCGGTTGATATATAACTTGGCAGGAAAATTGGGCTTTGGAACTCCTGCGCAATGGATAATTTGGCCACAATTATGGATACATGTTTAGGAATGAACTAATTTCCAGTTTCCATATTGCAGTAAATTTCGACATGGAGCTCAGAGCCAAATATTACATAGCAAATAAGATCTGGATCTCTGACAGCTTAGTAACCTCCGTTGCTATCGTACGTATAACAGAGGCATGGCATGGCATAGACTTCACGTTCTTGCATGTAAGCGTAGAGTCTGCTTGTTTGTACCCAGTTGTTAATTTGCTCATCACTCTTTTCTTCTCATCCGCATGGTTTCACGTTCCCTGAAACAACAGGAATGGATGGCGATCCTGCATTCCACCATATCAACGATTAATCATTCGTATGTAAAGAAGCGTAGTCTGCTTGTTAGTACCAGTTGGTAATTGCTCATCACTTGTTGTTACATGCAAGAACGTGAAGTCTATTTATTTTTCTTCTCATACGCATGATTAATCATTGATATGGTGGAATGCAGGCTCGCCATCCACTCCAGCAGTGGATTCACGAGCGACAAACATCCTTGTTCCTCCAAAGAGCTCAAAACCATTAACCCAGATCTTCCAGGATTGCACTGATGATCCCAGGAGAGAAATGAGACACCATCGCGACACCCAGTCGGTGTCTTAATTAACAACGATACAGCGATGGGAAAACAGCTTGATGAAGGAATAACATTTTCTTTTTTCCCCAGTAAAATGATTTTGCAGTCATCAGACAGGTCGGTCCAGACCGAGCACTGGAAACCGCAGCCTGGCCTGATATAAACGGACCGGTTTCGTTGTGCACACTGTTAAAAAGGATTTGCCTTTCTTTGATCGTAGTGTTTTGTCGATAGAAATATACGAATCTAAAACAAGAAAAAAAAAAATCTCCCCGAGCCGCCCCATCTGACATAAATGGACAGGTTGGCAGTGTATTAAAATATTTTATAATTAAAACAGCATCGTTAGTCGTTGATTAACAGTTATATAGGTTAAAAAACAATTAAAATGTCTGAGCCCGGGTTCGAACCGGGGACCTCTAGTGTGTGAGACTAGCGTGATAACCAACTACACCACCCAGACACAAACTCGGTGCTTAATTCTTAATTAAAACAGCATTATTAGTCATTTTGATTAACAGTTAAAATGGATTATAAAACCAATTAAAATGTCTGAGCCAGGGTTCGAACCGGGGACCTCTAGTGTGTGAGACTAGCGTGATAACCAACTACACCACCCAGACACAAACTCGGTGGTTAATTCTTAGTTAAAACAGCATCATTAGTCATTGATTAACAGTTAGTATAGATTATAAAACAAATTAAAATGTCTGAGCCCGGGTTCGAACCGGGGACCTCTAGTGTGTGAGACTAGCGTGATAACCAACTACACCACCCAGACATCAGCGTTTCATTCTTAATTAAAATAATATTATTAGTTATTGATTAACAGAATATAGATTATAAAAACAATTAAACTCGGTGCTTAATTCTTCTGATAAATCTTTGAATATAATAAAACTACTATCTCGGTTAATTAATGAAAGATGCACCTACGGTGGGTTTGGTTCCATAGATCGAAAACATATATTTCATGATCTTTAGACTTAATAATTATTATGAAATTAATTAAATTCAAAAAATATACATTGATCCATCAATATATGTTTTAAAAGAGGAAATCAAATTTATTGATAGATATTCAGATAGAATTTTAGGTTTTTTTTTTATCCCTTGATTTGACATATTATATTGCATATCCTATATTGCATATTCAGATAGAATCTTTTCTCATACATCAATAAAATTTAAATAATTTATTAATCATCATTAAATGTCATATGAAACCTAATGGTCATCTGAGTGGTATTAATTTTGACATTCTCAACTTTACCCTTCTAACATAAATAAACTTCATGATTTAATAAATCATTAAACAAAGACTATTACGTCAAATCCTTTCACGTAATTATCAAAGTCATATATCTTTAATAAGTATATTATTAATATGACTAACAGTAGTTATATAATCATTAATTTAATAGATTTCTTTCAAATAGTGTTCAACTTTTTTTTTAATGGAAGGGAGACCGTTAAAGGTAGTTAGAGGTTGCCCCCCTTAAGAATATTTCATAAAATATTTTACTCTTTTATAATCGGGTATAAAAGTTTATTGAAAAGGGGGTTGACTTTTTTTTACTACTCATGTCTCCACTTGTATATATCGGGTTACTAATTTGGTCGTTAGATGGGTCGGGTTACTACTCAAGGGATACCTCGAGAGCTCGATGTTTTCACATCGAATACATCTTAAACAACCCAATACATATAAGTCTAGGCCATGTCAAATTGACCAAGATATTAACGACCTTTCTCTCATCATTTTGGTACTAGAAGAATGGCACGATGTCATAGGAACGACCATCAATTAACTCTCCCAATGAGTGAAAAGGCTTTGCCTTCAACTCATAGTACTTTCACCTAAGGGGACAACAACCACCCTTTTCACACATAGGTGCATCCACCTCGATACAAACGTTGATGTGATACTGACATTTATTCAATGACAACTCTCTCACCCTTAGGGACAACCCCAAGCCACTTGCTTAGTTCCCGTTGAGGTATTCTTAAATCTCACTAAAAAAATATATATACTAACAAACATGTTACAACCCAACAAGTAATGCCACTAGCACAATCACCATCACTGACTCCACCATGATCGGCACCCGTCAAGGTTCCCTAACCCGACATAATGTTGACATCCCAAGAGAGCCTAAGACCCATTGAACTATCAGTCCAGGTGGCACTTTGGTCTATAATCATGAAATTTAATGAATTGCACCACCACTCTACCTTGCCCGAAACCGAGACCCAAATCGATGGAGGATTCCTTATAAATCCAACTACAATAGATGGATTGATATTTGGAGGAGATGCGATGAAAGTTCTAATAATCAAAAGGGAAAGTGATAATCGACCCCATCTTGAGTCAATCGTTGTTCACCCAAAAAATCCAAGAGGAATCAATTCCAATGAACTTTTGCTTCCTATCCTTGAAGACATTCGATAGCAGTGCTGACCCGATAGAGCATATTATATCTTTTTGTGTCCAAATGTCATTGTATGACACTTCGGATGCACTAATGTGTCACACCTTTCTGACCATGTTAAGAGGCCCAACACGAGAATGTTATGCCCATCTAAAGTCGCTTTCCATTAGTTCTTTTGCCCTACTCATGAAAGAGTTTGAACTTCACTTCCTCGGGAATATAAGCCTGTGGCCATCAATGACAACACTTCTCAGACTCCGATAGGGGGAGGAAGAAACACTCACAAACTTCGTCACCTAATTAGATTTGAGGCATGCTAGATGCACATCCGTCACTCAAAGGGCCAATTAATACATCACCACCGAGGTAATGGTCTCAAGTAAGTGAGGAGTTACATAAGAGATTGAAGCAAGAGTGCCATAATCAATCCCGACTCTGAGGTCACTATGGCGAAGGAGAAACAAATGACCCGAGTTACCTCACCCAAGGTCCAAGTTGGCCCTTCTAAATTTCACTAGAACTGAAGTTTTTTGTATATAAAAGAGAATGGGCTCTTAAAAGACCCTTACCCGATGAAAACTCATTGGCGAAAAGAGATAAATCCAAATATTACTGGTTTCACCGGGATTATGATCATGACGTGGAGGATTGTCATGATTTTAAAGCACAAAATGAAGAACTCGTATTGAGGATACCTCTGGTAGTTCATCTAAAAACACCGAGAACCCTCATCTCGACCTCAAGGGTTGGTGGAGAGGTATATTGATGTTATCATTGGAAGACCTGCCTCTGAGGGAGAAAGATAACCTTCAAGGAGAAAGAAACAAAGTATCTTAACTTAAATCATGACGATGCCTAGATAACCTTCAAGGTATATTGATGTCCAAGGCACATGAGTCGGAAAACCTGTCCCACATAAAAGTAAGTATACCACAATGAGAAAGACAAGGGAAAGAATATCCAAAGCATGGAGGCAGGGCATTGACCCCTCCTTTACTCAAGGTGGGTAGGCATTACCTAACGTAACTCATTAGCCTGAAAGTTTATAAATTAAAAATAAAAAAAAGAGAGACATCTCAAGTAGAAATTAGGCCTTCACGTAATAAGAAAAGATATGCATACTCATCTTCGCCCGAAGTAAGAAGGTCAAGAAACCCAACCCCTGGTTTATGCCAAGACATGAAAGTCGAGAAGTCCGACTCTCGCCTTCGTTGAGGGAGAGAGATCGGAAAAACCTAACCATCTTCACCCAAGCATGGAGGCCAGAAAAACAAACACATGCCTTTATCATGGCAGAGGATCCAACCCCCGCTTCACCGAGGCATAGAGTGAGATAGTGCTTCCTTGCTTCGCTACCCATCGACCCGAAAATTTCCCGCATCCAAAGAGAGACCACACGATCCAACTCTTCCACCCACCATCGCTCCTCGGTGGATACTCGACCCTCCATAACCACCCTCCTCGCCACGGGTTGCCGCGCACCCTGTCTTCTGCTGTTCGTATCCCTCGATTCACACATCCACGCAGCAGGCCTTGCATACCCCAGGCCTCCTTTGCTAATCTTCGCGATGTTGCCACTCGACCCGAGGGGGTCAATTCGATTGGAATCGTAGAAGGTGATAAGGGGTTTGGTTGCCTCGGATTAGATCGTGTGCCTTCGTGGGAGGAATCTTTATTGGTTGTTCGGTTTCTTGAGCTGGAGATTTGATGGCTCCAATGCAAAAACATGATCAATCTGCTGCGTCGAAATCGTCAAACTTCCCTCCGAAGAGGCTCGCCTGCAAGGTATCAAAGGGCTTCCCCTCCGGCAATCGCCTCAATTGCTCAAGCAACCACCTGAAGAGCCCCTGAAGCAGTACTCATCGCTACTGCCGATGTCATCTCACTGTCGCCCCTCATTTCCATTGCCCATGGAAGCCTAAGAGAGGTCGAGAAACTCGACCTCTGTCTTACGCCGAGGCATAGAGGTCAAGAAGCCCAACCCCCACCTTCTCCAAGGCAGAGAGATGGGGAAACTCGACCCTGCCTCCGCCCGAGGCATGGGGGTCGGAAGCCCGGTAAACACAAACCGAAATGTGCCAGATTTCATCACAAACCCTAAAAATCAAAGCGTGTATTGCTGACAAAAGAGTAGATTAAGAGCATAAAACCAGGCATTTGTCAATGCAGCAAGAATCTGAGAAGTCCAGGAAACCAGATTTGATATCAAACAAACAGGAAGCTAATTATGATTCCTTTTCCCTCATCCGAATTCGAATCAAACGAGGTAGAAAGATATTGCACCTTCTCTTTCTCGAGATTGGTTGGAGGGGGCGCGGGCACTCGGATTAACCATGCGAGGAAGCTTTGCCTGAGGGATCAAAAAGCAAAAAGAAGCAGATATAGATTGGAAAACGTCCCACGCAAGAATCAAGAAAGAGAGATCGCAGGGGATTGGAAGACCTCAGTAGCAAGGAATTCGTCGTCGCCGGGGGTGCCAAAGAAACGCGATCAGCCGTCACCCTTCGGGGTTTACGATTTATAGGGTCGTAAAGCCGGTAGA